TGAGCACAGTGTACTAACCCTGCAGCTCCCTCTATCAACGCTGACATCACCGGCTCCGTGAGCACAGTGTACTAACACTGCAGCTCCCTCTATCAACGCTGACATCACCGGCGCTGTGAACAGTGTACTAACACTGCAGCGCCCTCTATCAACGCTGACATCACCGGCTCCGTGAGCACAGTGTACTAATCCTACAGCGCCATCTACCAACGCTGACATCACCGGCTCCGCGAACAGTGTACTAACACTGCAGCGCCCTCTATCAACGCTGATGTTATAAGGTTTGCAGAGCGAACGTAGAGAGAGCGAGAGACAGAACATGCGACATGATTATTTGGGTTCACAGTGCAACCGAACACGGGCCTTGGCTAGACAACCTGCGTCCAGTCCTTGTCATTAATAACCAGTAATGTGTGAAGCCCACCATGCCAGCGGACTCACGATAGTGACGTTCCCACTATAGTGATGTGCTTACGACTATAACATGAAAATATTGATGATATAAATACTGGCGTACTCGTATAAGGACCTTAACAAAACACAATAAAGGTGCAAAGATGGAGTACGTATAACAAATTGTTTCTCTTTTTCGAAATCCATGGTTGCTAGCACATAACGTTATATTTCTAATGCGATATTACTGTTAGTAATGCATTATTTGTTATTACAAAATGACATCTGCAGTACACAAACCCTAACACCACTTGTAAAACTTACAGAGGAGACATGGGCTTGTTATAAGAAATATCACATCAATAAATTGCTAAAATACACAAATAATGGTATGATGTAACTGCAGTACATTACTTTCATTGAATAATGACTATAGACGGAAGGATGTATGCATCATAACAGCTTCAGTAATCACACAGAATTCAACTGCTTCACCAAGAATAACTTGGAAACTGGAAATCAATTTACTCTTCGACAATTACAGACAGAATCAGCAATTTAGATGTAACCCCGCATCCCATTGTTTTAACACAAAATAATCAATGAAACTGATGCAGCATCACAACATGTTGCCAAGCAACACACTTCCACTTGTCGATGTCTCAATTTACATCACACCCTCAAGATGTGAAACGCTGCAAGTTCAATCTGACATTCAGAATTCGGCGGCAGTGTTGCATCTTGGGATGGATCGCTTTGTTCCGCGAGCACCATCGTACGCACACAACAGCACATAGGTCAGCCTACCTACACTGCATGTAGACTCCCGGGAGGAAAGGAAGGAAACCTACTTGACAGGAGGTGGAGAAAAAAGGCCACCTCCTTGCTGATTGGCTGCTCGTGACGGAGCAAACCCAAGCAGCTTTTGTATGTTCTGTGAGAAAACAAACAGATCTTATCAGAAGCGAAACACATTGTGCATGCAGCATCGGATGCTAACTCAAACTTGCTATTCTACATCACAATTAAGGCCAAAGCAAAACCGACCCTATTTATTCCCAGCGACCCTAAACATTTTATTGTCAATTTTCTTTAAAGTAAAAAAAAAAATATAAAAAATATGAATTGGACAGTTCCTGCTTCAAAAGGCACAACGCACATCCTTCGGACATGGTCCGTAAATAAAATGTTTCAATACAATAAAATGTTTTCCCTACCTACCTACCCTATTTTTTTCCGGCATGAAACGGTAACCACACCTATATTTTGTTTTGGCCTAACATAGCTGCACATGGATGTATTAACAAAGAAATCAAGCTAGATGCCTGCCATTCAAGAGCTTCAGCTGCAGATATATAGTAATTCAAGCCTTTTCAATATGAGTATGCTAACACATTCTGAGCAAAGATGCTGCTTGCTTTACCTGTCGAATAGACATTGTACACAGAATGTAGAGAAATATGAAGGAACAATCTGAGTAGTCATCCCCGAGAAGGTTTCTATGTGACAGACCCTGAAGCCATGTTATGGGCACAAACGGAAGCTTCGCCACGACTCTGCCGTCGAAACTGCAACATGATAACATAGAACGCAATTACGGTTCCTGACACTCGAAACCATATTTCAATATGTACAGTCCTTCTAATGTAGCAACAGCGCTAGATGGTGGCACCATAGATACAAGTGGTTGGGCAAGTTGTTGGGCAATCAATCGTTAGTCACTGTCATCTGTCCACAAATTTGCAATCTATTTTAGGCATCATTCAGGTGACCACCTCATTTGTAAAAACAGGCAACTGTTTACTCAGTGACCTGGCTTACGAACGGTACACCCACAGAGAGAAAGATTTCTGTCCAGCTGAACTGGTCAAAGGTTATTTTGTTTTCACCCACATCAAGGGCCAGTTATACCACTCTACCCAGATAACAAACATGACGCATATCGGCTACTTAAAGATAATACCACTTCAACAACATTTTGCTGTTATTCATTCACTGTTTTGCAAAGTGTGGTCCCTATTTAATATCAAAAAAATTTCAAGTAATGCAAGTTTAGCATGGAAAACACAATGCACCAATATATTGGGCATTTTGTCTAAAGTGCAACATCGTCATATCACTAGAAATTTACCATAATGACAGCTAAGTACAGACAGAAATATTTCTAAAAGGAAACTCTACTGATATGATGTGATAAATATATACTATATGATGTGTAAAACAAAGTTGTACTCACATGCTGTTAAACATACTCATCAGTGCTGTGAAGCTAAAACCAATAGCAAACATGGACTTCATCTTTACCTAAAATAGATGCATAACAATACTGGTTCAAGGTCAGTTCACTTATACTTTAGCTCAATAAATATCTACACGGCACTGCCAACAACCTGTTTATTAATAAAATGACACAACAGGCAAACAGATTCTAATTTTTTTTCGTATGAATTCACTTACCAATGATAAATCCCTGCTATTATTTTTCAATTTTTCCTCCTGCCGTTCTAAAAAATAAACAACTTGTTTGACAGAATTACGATTCACACCAAAGATAATAACACGAGATCATAACAAATATTAATATAAACTTAATTTAATTAACTATTCCACTAAATATTTTGCAATTCAACAAACCATAGCAGTTACTGTGAACTGTGTCTTATGCTATTAATAGCTGATAACAATATCTAGTATACTAGACATATATTTCACACTGTGTGCAGCAATGAGAAATCAGTGCAAATGGCACAACTATCCACGAATCTCACACACCAATCTTTTTCCTTTGTGAGCGGTCACCACCACCATCTCCAAATGCATCCTTTTTCTTTTCCACTGGAAAAATTCGAAGGTTAGAATTATGACAAAATGAGCAACACAAAGGCATGGTGTATGGCAGTACATAAACACATTTCTTTTCACTATGTGAGAATTTCAGAACAACCAAAAGCTAGTGTTGTAGGTAGAATACAGGAGAACTATTATACTTTCGTCAGAAATATTAATACTATTGAATTACTTTTCATCTTTAAATTTACCCTATTTTCTTATCGAAAACTTAAATAATATTCTACTATTACATTTCTTGCTTTGCCTCTCTACTTCTAGCTTTAATTTCTGATATTTTTCTGTCCTGTATACCAGCAGCCATGTTAGACCTAGAAATAAAGTAAATATGATGACTTATTGTTTGGCAAAACTACATTTAAAGAAATTATTTCATAAATAACTGCATCTAGAAAAATAAAGTGAAATGTAGTCTCACCAAATAGCAAACACGTTAATGTACACTGTTTACTTCAGTGTAAAAATACCATGAGTTTATGTTGTTATGGTATATAAAATAGCAAATAATGAATCCACATTCTTTCGTATAGTGACAATTCGTTTGCAATCAGCCACCACCAAACAAAATTGTATCTCATTGAGTGACGTATTGGTTCTAGACTGGTACAACATCTCTACTGCTAAATACAAATTACCACGTCAAAATACAAGAAAAGGGTCTCGTGAGAAACAAATGGCATCATCAAGTAACTGCGTTAACACAATGACAATGTAATTGTAAACAAAAAAGATTTCATTCATTGTATATTTTTATAAAAAATAACGGTGTGGGGGTGTACTAGATAGCAGTATAGTAAGAGTATAGTGGTGATTTATGTACAGTAGTCCTAAGGATAATACACGCGTAATTCATAAAAATATGATTCTAAAATTTCTATACACACTACGCTTTTTAGAGTACACTGTGACACTCTGACACTAACACTAACAGTCATCTTACTTGAGCACTGGTCAACTCGACCCACCCGCCAACTCGACTCGCATTGTGGCGAGTTTACCCACCTGGAGGTCGGTCCACTCGGCTCGTGGGTCGAGATGATCTGACTGGAGATCGGGCAGCTCGACTCACTGTCTAACTAATTTAAGATGTTTTACACATTCCGACGTCAAAAGGTGTGTGGGAATAACCTTTTATTATGCGTAGAGTATAATTTTGGCAGTGGCTGGAGGTACGGCAGCCGTATCTCCAATTTACGAGGCTGGAGGTACGGCAGTCCATTCGCTTTCATACAAACGAGACAAAGATGGCGGCAGATGGCGGCAGATTTCGAAATAATGCCTTGGGAAATAAATTCACGATTTGAGTTTTGCTGAGCTAGAAAACACTGGGATTAGGTATGACAAGAGCCGCAGAGCATCTGGGCTCATCTGGGGTCTGTTGCTACGGTTATGAACGTACAATTTCAGTCGTGCGTAGTGACACATTTGTTAGGCGCAGATATGCAGATACGCAGTTGCGTACACATCATTGTTAGGACACGCTCACTGATCTCCCCCATGCGATTTTTGGTTTTATTTTATTAAATGATGCTTGCCCTTTCACTCGAATTTTGTGTCAATGATTCACAGCTATCTATTTTGTATCTATCTATAAAAGATCAACATATGAGCATGGATCTCCAAGTATAATTAGACGGGGCGGCGAGTCCTTCTCCCCACGCTCCCTCCCCACTGCGTCCCACCTCCCTCCCTCCTCCTCCCCCTGCCCTCCCACTTCACTCCCCTTGCTCTCACCTTCCACCCCTTACCTCCCATCTCCCTCCCCTTGCCTTCGACCATCCTTCCCCTGGCCTCGCCACCTCCCATTTCCCCTTGCCCCACACCATCTCGCACGACCTAATTGTACCCCATTTCCGCTCGCATTACATCACGTATCACCGTTTCTCCTGTCCCCGTCTTCAAATTTACTACTCTCTCCTCTCTCTTTATCTTAGGACTTTCTTTCTCTACTCTTCTTAATTATGAATAAAAAATTTAACCCCAGCGATGATGCCTTTTACTGCCCCTCATTCCGGCCCCCGCCCCCGCCCCTGCCCGCCACCCTAATATTTCTATGCGTAACAGCTTATGTTCGCCCCCATAACTGCCGTAAATGGGATACGCTACGGCCATAGCCTTAATGATATATGATTTAAGATTCAAGATTGAAAAGTAAATATTATATGATTATATGCGTACTTAGTTATTATCTATTCGTTTTTAACAAAGTTACATGAGATTAAAATCTAAGATTTTAAACTAGCCTATAGTTGCCCGCCGAGATGGCCGCGTGCAAGGTAATCAATAATCAAAGATAGGCATCTGCCCTCATTCCTGAAAATCTTAACAGTAGGTACAGGCTAAATCCAAGTAAGTATATTCAGGCAGGTGACTAATATTGAGTGTGCTGTGAGTTAATCAGCCTGTGCAGGTAACACGTGCATTGCAGCGTTGCGAGGCAACAATTATGATAGAAGCGTGCCCGCTGTTTTTGCCTCATGCCAGCATTCACTGATTTCATCATTCAGCCTTCAGGCCCGCAGGGCCCAGGGTGCTATAGGACAGCACTGCTTTAGAAAATGATAGTTGATTTACAGCCGAGCGTAAAACCTTGCTTCAACAACATTTGCCTTTGCAATTAAACTGGTTCAACTGTAGCCTCACATTTGACACATGGTAATGGGCTCTGAATAATAGCAAAAGCCAGTTCAGTCCTTTGTAAACGATCAACAACATCAATGATTTAACCCTCTCTGAGGCCGTCAAAAGGTTTATCCGACACCTTTACTCTCGGCCATGTCAGTGGAAAAGCATATTTCATGGTCCTTTCAATAAAGCCATAAAAGCTAGGTCACCGCTGCAAACAAAAAAGTTTTCAATCCGCTCCGTCAGACGTCATGTCCTTCAAGAAAATGGTTCTAAAATTCGCCTGTGCCCATGCCTATCTGACCTGTGACCTCCAATTTCGGCACAGTGATGGCTTTTTTCCTACATGATGGCTATTACAGCGACTATCACAAGCCTAGGTCGAGCCGTTTAGATTGTGCCGCCAATTCTGCATTTCCTCCCTATACCTTTAATTAACGAGGTGAATGGTTCCCCTCTTTTTACACCTCTTGCACCTTTTGACCTTTGACCCGCCAGCTTCGACATCCCAACTCGTTTCGGATTACCCCCCACGTCCCGAATAATCGTGACCGCTACGTTCGAGCGGTTAAGGATTTTGTGCCCAACTGTTGACGGTAACGGCGGAAACGGAGGAGCGTCACGGACGATCATGCGATGTCTACAAGCTGCAGTCTGAACTAGTCAGATGAGCCTAAAAGGAACATTGATTGTTTAACATTCTACATCAAGAAGATCGCAAATAATTTGCCTCTGCCCTCAAACAAAAAACACCAAAAAAGGCCGGTTCAACGAAACCGACCGGTTGGCCGTACCTCCAGCCACTTCGTATAATTTTGTTACACATAATCCATCTTAATTTTCAATCTCACATGAGTTTGCCCGATATATAGCCGGTGAGTCGAGCTGCCCCATCTTAGGACAGTCATCTCAACCCAGGAGCCACACGGGTCGAGTTTCAGTTTGCCGCCGAGGCGAGTTGACTATGGACCACTCCATCTTACTTCTTAGTAAAGCACGAAGGCTGCGTCGTTGTCGTAACAGCGATACTACAGATATGTACCCGAGGTAGTTTTAGTTGCTTTCAGTATTATGTTTATATTTTTATATGAGGTATGTTTAGCGGTAGCGGCGTTAGGTTTAGAGTTAGGGTTATGGTTTAGGGTTAGGATTAGGTTTAGTGTTAGGGTTAGGGGTTACACTTCATGTAGCTACAAGTCTGGTACACTTTGTGTATACATATATGTACCTCGGTACATATCTGTAGTTACCTGTTACGACAACGAGCCCCTTGAGCCTTAGTAAAATCTTCACTCTTACGCAGAGCGGTCTGCTGTCCCACAGGGTTACTGCCGCGAACGTACCCTGGGTACCCTTGGTAATATCTGACTATGGTTAGTCCGTTAAGGGTTAGTGTTAGGGATAGGCGTACGGCAACTCCTAAACTCTCTGTTAGGCGAGTAGGCGAGGTACGGGTCGGCATATTAGATAGTACCAGCCGCAGAGCATATAATCACGGTGATTTATATGCTCTGGTACCAGTGTACGTTTCCTGTATTACTTGGACCATCTC